AAAAAGACTACGAAAATATATAAATATATGTTCAGTTCCAATTTCCAAGTTCCAACTAAACTTCCCAAAAAAAACATATCATTGCATTTTTACTTCAACTCCATTCCTCTATTCCTCGGCACCTCTTACATTTTACGGACTAATAAAACTATTATTGCAACAAAAATATGAAAACTAGCGTACATAAAATACCTCCCTCCAATTACAGCTAATAACTTTCAGCTTGTACAGTCCACTGCCAGTTCACAGAAAAACCCAGCACGTCATAACCCAGCACGTCCCTTGATCGATTACATATCAAGAACTCAAACCTACGACCAGCTCGAAAACCCCAATTGGGATTAGTGTTTTTTCTTTTAATTGCTTGTTTGCGCCTCCCTTTTCGCGTTTAAAGGGTTTGATCTGAGAAGATTAGCTGTGTATTTAATGGAGGGAGGTGAAGAAAGCCCAGTGAGGGTGGAGGGCATGAGAATGAGGATGCGGGCCGATCGGGCCTTCAGCTTGGAGCCCGATGTGGCAGTTTCGTCGCCGGTGACCCGGCAGAAATCCGCCGCCGCTAAACAGTTCATTGAGAACCATTACAAGAATTACTTGCAAGGGTTGCAAGATCGAAAAGAAAGGTGATTTTTTTCTTTCTTTTTTGGTTTTTTCTTTTGTTTTTGCCCCTTTGATCGAACTGTATACTACGGACTCTACAAATGTAGGCAGCATAAGTTGGAATTTGTATTTTGAGGATGTATGTGTGTAAATCGATCCATTTTTCGGCTTTATCTTGAGAAAAAAAAAAGGTTTCTTTCATTGTTTGGTATTTTAGGAGGAGTGCTTTGCAGAGAAGGGCACATGAGGATAAAGTGTCTAGCGAGGAGAAAGAAAGAATGCTAAGGAATTTAGAGAAAAGGGAAACTGAGTATATGAGATTGCAGAGGCATAAAGTGGGGATTGATGACTTTGAGCAGTTGACCATCATTGGTAAAGGAGCATTTGGGGAGGTACTTTTATTTGTTTATTTGCTTTTTTGGTTCATCCATGTTATAATCTTGATTTGTGGATTCAGTATGTAAACAGTATTGGCACTTTTCAGGTGTTTTATGGCTCGTTTGTTTCTTGATCTAAATGATTGAAGATTGGTTCTTTTTTATTATACCTTCTTTTGAAGATCTTAATTTTCGTGATGCCAATATTGTATATATGTTCGAACTAGATTAGTGATCTCAAAGTATTAATGGAAGTTTTCTGTTGATAGATGTAATGGGTTATGTAAAATTTCAGAAAGCCAGTGTCTTGTTAATTTGTGCACTTCACACATCTGAATGCTTTCAGTACTCACGGTAATGACAGCCATTGTAAACCAAGTATTTATAAACATTAATAGAAATTCTGTATTTCTAATTAATAATCAGTTGTCCAACTAAACCTAGTCTATATGGATCTGTTCGAAATGCAAAATATTCAAGATTCTACCCTTATGGTAATGCCAAACACATGTTTCTTTTTAATGCATCAATGTAAATACTGTCTTAAGATGATGCGTTTACAAATTGTGGCTTCTTTCCATTTACGCAATGCTTAATATCTCTAGACTCGTAAATGACTTGGTAACGTGATTCAGGTCAGATTATGCCGCGCTGAAAATACAGGAGAAATATATGCCATGAAGAAATTGAAAAAGTCAGAGATGCTTAGCCGAGGACAGGTGAGTAAACAGAAGTCCCGTCAGTAAAAAAAAATGAAATAAATATATTCATATAAGTTACTGCAATACACACTTACTATTAGTTGACCCGAACTCCTCATAGGTTGAGCATGTCCGTTCGGAAAGGAACTTGCTTGTGGAGGTAGATAGTCGGTGCATAGTGAAGCTTTTTTACTCCTTTCAAGATTCCGACTTTTTATATCTCATTATGGAGTATTTACCTGGTGGTGATATTATGACTCTTTTAATGAGAGAAGACACTCTCTCGGAGGACGTTGCCCGCTTTTACATTGCAGAGAGCATTCTTGCCATTAATTCCATTCATCAGCATAGTTATGTACATAGGTATGGGTTTTTATTATTTCTAACGAGCATATTATTTGAGTATTTTTTGCTCCATTGTGCTTTCATTGCCTTTAACTTCAAAATTCTCTCCGCATAGGGATATCAAGCCAGATAATCTGATTTTAGACCGTAATGGACATCTGAAGCTTTCTGATTTTGGTTTGTGTAAGCCACTGGAAAAATATTCGTCCATGTTACTTGAAGATGATGATTTTATTGCTCGGGATTGTAAAAACAAGGGCGAAGGGCATTCGGCCACAGAGACTGCTCCTTGGTTAATGGCCAAGGAACAATTACAGCAGTGGAAAAGGAATCGTCGAGCCCTGGTATTTTTTATTAATCTTTTTCTCTTCTCTATTTCCTTTTTTCTTTTTTCTTTTTCTTTTATAGGATAAAGATTTTATATGTTTAATGATTTCAGGCATATTCTACAGTGGGGACTCTTGATTATATGGCGCCAGAGGTTTTGGTAAAGAAAGGTTATGGAATGGAGTGTGATTGGTGGTCTTTGGGGGCAATATTGTATGAGATGCTTATCGGTTATCCTCCATTTTGTTCTGATGATCCTAGGATGACATGTCGCAAGGTATATATCCAAATTTCACACTTTTCCAAAATGCCATTCTTTTTCGAGGAAATGGTGTCATTATCATTCCAGGTTTTCAACTGATTTCGAAGTAACAAACTTTTGTTGGGGGGTGAAATATTTTAGAAAATCACGCTAAGGAACTTCTCTGATACGTGCATTATGTTTTATTATGTTCGTCTATTTGTATCAGATAATAAATTGGAGAACATGCTTGAAGTTCCCTGAAGAACCAAAAATATCCGATGAGGCTAAGGATCTGATCTGTCATTTGTTATGTGATGTTGACAAAAGATTGGGGACGAAAGGTGTTGAAGAAATTAAGGTATGTAATTTCTAATATGCCATTCAAGGGCAGAGTAAAAAAGATTTTTCTTGGGTACTCAGAGAAATTTCATATGGATATTTTGAGAAATATTGCGTTTTCTAATATTTACGACAAATCATGTTTGTGAAACTTGAAATTAATTGAATTTCAGGGACATCCGTGGTTTAGAGGCACCAAATGGGACATGCTTTATGAAATGGAGGCTGCGTACAAACCTATTGTGAACGGAGATTTGGACACACAGAATTTTGAAAATTTTGATGAGGTTAGTTATAGTGAAGATAATTTATTTGTACTCATAATTGAGTAGTATTTATTCTTATCCTCGTGTGGTTTCTAGTATTTCTCTTATGTCTTTTTGCCTCTGTTTGCCTGTGTTTTCTCAGGTAGAAAAGCCACCATCTAACACGCCAAGAGTAGGACCTTGGAGGAAGGTCAAGAAATTATCTTCCTTTCCTTTCC